CTGCTGTGGCTGCTTTACATCTGGACAAGAATCAGTTGCAACAGGAATGGATAAGAATTAAAATAAAACTCTGTGCCCAGGCTGTGATCTAAACATGGCAAGGGGAATGGAAGAGGCAAAATGGACAGAGGGGATTGACTGTACCTAAAATGTGAATATTAAGGCCTGGAACTCTGAATGTGTGAGGGAATGGTTAAGTTTTCCTTCAATGTCTTGATCTTGGCCCAGTGAGGGAATTTGCACTTCATATCTGAAAAGTTTCGGTCTGGGACTCTTCTGGTTTAGGTATAGACATGCAGGCAGAATTCCCCACGTGCAGCTGTGTGCTCTGGGTAGGCATATTTAGAGCTGCCCAACAAACACCTTCTTCTGTGCAGACTGAGATTAAAGTTCTTTCTGAAGAGTTAAATGTACCCACCAAAAACTTAAGAAATGATTATACCATATTAAAAAAAAAAAAAACAACAACTCTCTCTTCTTGTTTCTGATGTGTCTGAACTTCCTTTTACACAAAAGCTTGCTTTAAAAAGTGAGGAAATAGAATCAGATTTATATTGGGAAGCTTTTTCTTTTTAATCCTGTGAATTTGTACCTGATCAGACACTTGCAGGGATCCATAACTAGTGTGTTTGCTTTAAGACTGCCTTAAGAATCTGCTTCTTTTGATTACTTGTGAACACGTACAGTGTGGCAACACCTTCCTTCTGATCTTTTAACCTCCCAAGCCTCCCACTGTCTTGTTAGTGTTACCTAGATCATCTTTTCCCTGAACTTTTGTGGTGAATGTGGTTTGCAGACTGTGAAAGGTAGGAGGTCTCCGTCTTATGAGCTTGTAGCTAAAAACTGCTCTGTTCTGAAAGTGCTTTGATATATTTAATGTGAGCACAAGAGGCAGGACTCCAAAGTACCACAGTGGAAAACTTGTAAAAAGTTGTTTTCCTCTCATGTACAATTAAATAAAAGTTGAGCTTCTAAAGCTGCTTCTAAAATAGCTGGAAATATGAGAGGATAGTTTGCAGTAGCTCAGGTCACTGGATTCCTCTTATTTTCTCTGCACTGTTTGCTTTGTAGTTTATTTGTAGTTTATTTCCATTGCCTTTGGTTGGTTGTAGGAGCCAGAGGTTGAAACAGGTTTGTGGGTTTTTGGAGCAACTGATGCTCCTGCCCAGTGTGACCTCCTTGCTTTAGGTGGAGCCTGAGCTGGCCCAGGACAGGAGGGCAGGAGCTGTTGGACTGGGAAGTGCGAGGCCAAAACACCAGTGGGACGTGTTCGTTTTCCCCACAGCTGTTTTGATGGAAGGATGGTAAAATAGTAATAAGCTGTTCTGACAATTTGAGAAGACTTGGAGTGTCAGCAGTCTGGTTTTTGACCTACTGATGCCTGCTGCTTTGTTTTTTAACTCGTTTCATCATGGCTGTTAACAGCATTAAGAGCAGTGTTTTTGGGGTGGACTCCTGACTTGTCTTACAGGCGATGACAGCTAATTCCCTTGTGTGTGTTGTGCACTAGTGTTTACACCCTCATTTGCTGGGCTGTGTAAACCTTCTTTATAGGGGGTACAGAACTACTGCTGAGGGTCTGGGCCTGTGAGTTACTCCTGGTAGCAAAAAGGAGGTCAGTAGAGGGAATTGGGATATCTAACAGTTGGACTTGATGAGCCTTGTGGGTCCCTTCCAACTCAGCAGATTCTGTGATGTTGTTCATTCCCTCAGCTTGGTCAGAACTATCAGAAGTGCCATTCTTTCCATTTTTCTATCATTTGAAAAGCTGATTTTCATCTTCCAGAAAGAAAATGCTCTTCTGGTTTCTGTGTGTGGTTTGTTGGAATATCAGAGCAAAATTAAAAGGTATAGGTTCAGTATGGACTGAAGGAAGGCTGGCTGGGGACATAAACTGAGGGATTGAGTGTGTGGGGAGAGAGAATAGGGTGAAAGATGGAGAGTGGGGTACTTGGGGGTGAGAAGAATACAGGAAAGAAGGGAGTAGAGAGCAGAATAATCATGGGAGAGGGTGTGGAGGAAGAGAGACACTACATTTGTGTCTTAGGATAAGGAAAGGATGTTCTTGCATCTTTGAGGACATACCACAGAGAAGGAATGACAGGTTGATTCTGCAGCTGAGATGCTGCCTGACTTCCCTAAAGCATCCAGACTGTAAGAAAGACCCAACTTGCATTTAAAAAAGTTGTCTTGTTTTAAAGCAAGCTTGTGACTTTATGGATCCAACTAATTCCAATTACTCATTTGCAGTATTCTGTTTCATCTTAGATTGTAGCCTCAAGAGATGTGAGCAGGGGTGGGAGTATTATGAAACAAAGTAATTTGATTATTTGGGGTGGGGTGGGAGGGTGGCAGCTTTGTTTTAACTTAGCAAATTGTTTAAAAGCACAGACAGATGAAAAGGAGACAGCTAATCTGGTTAAGAATAGCCACTATGCCTTTTGATATTGATTTCTTTCCTCACTCTGTCGTCTTTTAACCTCATTTTCTTACAATTTTAGAAAAACCATCTTGAGCCATACTGAACAAATAGAGGATATGGATAAAATAGCTTCCTTTAAAGAAGTGATTGAACTTCTTTTTAACTTACCACTAGATTTCTTCTTTTTTTTATGTTCTTCAGTTTATCTTAATTTTTCCTTGCAATAAAAACTCTTTAAGATATGAATTTTCTGCCTTTTAGCCTAAAATGCTCAGCTTTTACATGCTTGTTATGTCATCTGTTTACAATACATTTAATGCTAAAAGATTTATTTTTAGCTGGCTCAGTAAAATAGCTGGTTGCAGGAGTTGTTGTTGTCATAGCAGCAATCTTAACAGATAGGCTGATCCTATTTAGCTTTTGCAGCCAAAGAGCGGCCGTTAGGCAACAGTTTGACAGTTCTGCAGCATTTTTCTAAAGATGGAAATTGTGGTGGTGGTGAATTTTTTTTGGCCCTACTTTAAAATATTTCTTTCTGTAGGTGTGTGGAGTTCGATTCAACATTTTCCCCTAACAACTTCGGAGAACTTTGAATACACAACATGTGAGATTTCAGGATTTAAGTCTTAATTTGTAGAAGCTTTAAAATAATTTACATGGTGCAACATATTGCAAGCTGCTTTGATGATTTTTTTTTTTTCTAAGCCAGAAGTATTCTGAGAGAAAAATGCCAGACTAGAGAACAGGATTGTGCATCATTTATTCTGCACTAATTTTAAGTCGTGGCAGACTGGGCAAATATTACTGAAGAAGTTTGTGGGTTGTTTTTGATGAAATGCGCTGCCTGGGTTAGATGATAGCTTAGGATTTTAGTGATTTAATTCTTATTTTTAATATGAAGAGAAAAGGGTACTTCTATATTAACAAGCAAAGAAATAGTAATTTCAGATTAGTCTGTAAAATGAGCCATATCTCTATGTGTTCTCTGTAGCTTTGAGCTGTTACAGAAATTCAGTTACTCTTAAACATATGTCTGAATGCAGTTAATTTTGTCTGAGATGAAAAATGAATTTACTGTGAATGAATTTCTCCTGTCTGTATCTTCCAGTCAGATGGTATTGGACCTGAATTGTTGTTATTGGTGTGGTCAAGCAAAAGACTTATCCTCAAACTCTCTCCAGTCTTTTGCTAGACAGAGTACTTTTAAAAATAATTTGTTGAAGTACCTGAGTTTAATGCTGGGAGAAGGGTTTCGGTGTTGTTGGCTTAGGGTGCTTCAACTATGATTAAGAGTCAGAAAGTGTATTTAACCTTCTAATTACTTTTTTGTTCTCAAGGCCTACTTGTTAAAATGTATTGTTATCACAGACCGACACGTCAGGCGTATGTGCTTATTCATTTCCAGTGAATCATGGCAACTTTCATCACCCACCTCCCCAGTCTGGGTTGTTTTGGGGAATTGTCAGCACATCGTGTTCCTCTCCTGGTTCAAAGCCAGTCTGAGAGTGGCAAAGGCGACTTCTGTAACTCTGACTGATGTGGATTTGATGCTGTGCCACTGTTTTGTGGACCAGTATGGAGTAACCCAATGACTGGATCTGGCAGCATTTCCCAGCAGATAAATGGAATGTCATATACCCACGTGCGTTTTACTGTCCAGGTTGTATCACAGCTTTTGAGTGGATCGAGGAGGTCGGTGCTGTGAAAACAGTTCTTGCTGTGGTTCCACCACCCAAATTCCTGCCTCGTCACCCCTTTTCCCTCCCTGCTGGGCGACTTTCCCTGGGCTCTGGCATTCATCTGAATCTTCTCCATCTCCCCAGTTCCCCTAAATTTACTAACTTGACCAAAGCTTAGTGTGAGTCTAACTTTATCTCCCAGGTTGGCAGCTGAACCAGCTGAGCCAAGGGACCCATTGCTGTAGGGTAGGGACTGTGGGTGGGGGGCAGTTCTGGAGACCTGAGCAAGAGCAGGTAGATCCAGACCTCCCTCCCCTGGTTATCATCATCCTGGTGGGATTTTATCCCATGCTACACTAGCCATAGTGCCCAGAGGTTTTATACCTGCAGGAATGCCTGTGTGGCACAGGATGAGCTTGGTGGAGGAACTGGAACAGTTTAATTGCAGAGGAGCAGCAGGTTCATTTCACACACATCTTTCTCCTGGCTTGTACCAGGCTTTGCAGGTCATTCTGCTGATACGTGGTTGGTGTGGGAGCAGGAATGCCCATGTGGAGTGAGGACACAGTAGAATTATTGGTGTATTTTAGCAGCAGTGCCTGCTAACCCTGCTTGAAGTGTTCATTAACTACGGGCTGAGAGCTGTGAGCGAGTTGACTGTCGTCTGCTCCTAATGAGTTCCCTGTCAAGGTTTGGGAATGTTTTGGACAAAGGGAAAAGTTTTTTCTGTTAATATGTCCAATTGGTGGTTTTCTCATGTGGGGATATAACTGTTTTCCTGCTGGTCTGCAGCAGGCACTGAGTGAAAGGGAAAGGTGGCGGGGAGATCTGCGTCCGGAGAGCGCGACTGGGAGATGCGTTTCTGTCACTCACCTTCTGTGTCTGTTTTGCCATTTCAGGCAAAGTCGTGCATTTGTCATATGTGTGGTGCCCACCTGAACAGACTCCACTCTTGCCTCTACTGTGTCTTCTTTGGCTGTTTTACAAAGAAACATATTCACGAGCACGCGAAGACAAAGCGACACAATTTAGGTAAGTTCTCACCAAGTCCCTGTGTTATCCCTGTCAGTTCCAGGCCAATAAGGTGATATTTCCTTGTAGCTACTTTGTTAGGCAGGGAGATAATTTGATTGGTGTTTTGGGTTAGTTAAGTGGTGTTATTTTAAACTTGGTGCATGAGGTTTTATTGCATCACTGTTAAGTTTTTGTTCACAGCTTAAACCCTGAGTTATTACTGTTTAGTACCTTTTATTTATGAATTAACGTCATGTATAGGGAAAATTAGTAAAAATGTGAGGAGGCAGAGGGTTGGGTTTTTTTTTCTTTATGTGTTAAAAATGGTGGGTTTAGTGCCTGGAACTAGAACATTTATTTCAGTAAACTTTATTTTCAGGAGGTCATGTTCACTTTTTTTCTTGCTGAGGAAAAAAACGTCATTCTGATCACAAAGAAGACTAATCAAGTAGCAATCAGAATTATTTTAGCTTTTGAAGTTTTAGGGTTTTGTTGAGTTTTTTTTTTTTTTAATTTTTCTGTGTTGTCTTTTTTCCAGTGAGGTCAATAACCTAAGTAATAAGAAAGCAGTTTAATTGATGTGGAGTACCTTTCCCTCAACCATCTCAAACTTTGGTAAAATGCCAGCAAGTTCTTTTGTTGTATTAGCTTTGGTGCTGCATGACGTTCAAAACCAAAAGCATTCAGTTTTGTTTTAAATTACCTATTGTCTATAGTTTAGAACATTTTAGAGTTATAATGCAACATCTTGATAATTTTATCTTAAAATGCCAGTTGCATCAATATGGATGTGCACAATTTTGCTTAGTGTGCAACTAAATTTTTCTTCAAATTAAAATACATTATTGTTTGTAGTGATATAAGAAACAGGGAAAAAAAAGCATTACTTCGTGACATAAATTTTCTTTTGACCAGTATGGCCACCATTCTCAATTTCATTTATCCAAAGTGCTTATAGAACAAACTGCCTTTATTTTCCATGAAGACAGAGATGCTCCAGAAGGCCAACAGTGCTGTCTGTGTACTCTGAGCTTAAGAAACGGGCGTGTAAATTTACTATTTCTGGAAAAGATGATTTAAACCAGCAGATCGTTATAGTTTCTTCCTCCATATGTGTCAAGAAAGAAAAAAATGAGGCTCCATAGTGGTATAGTTTAAATTTGTAAATGTCTTGAAAAACAGAATACTGGAAAATAGTACTGAATGTCCATAAGGGTGTGGCTGGGAGCACTGGGACTGTTCAACTCACAGGAGAGGTGGCTCAGGGAACCTCAGCAGTGGGGCAAATATCTGAAAGAGCGGTTAAAAAAGGTGGGATCGGGCTCTTTTCAACAATGTCTGGTGATTGTACAAGAGGCAGTGAGGACAAAATGAAATACTGGAGACTGTCTGCTCATCACACGACAAGTTTGTGCTGTGAGGGTGAGCAAGGGCTGGAGCAAGTTGCCCTGAGAGGTTGTGGAGTGTCTATCCTTGAATATTATTTGGAAGCTGGACGTGGGCCTGGCAGCCTGCTCTGGATGGCCCTGCTGGAGCAGGGGCTGGACAAGGTGACCTCAAAGGTCCCTGCCAACCTCAGCTGTTCTTTCAAAACTGAAAAAAAACAACCCAACCCTGTATGGCACCTTTTTATTTATTATTAATCTCAAAGAGCTTTAAAAGTCAGTTCATTAGAGGAAATTATTTTGGAAGCTTTACCAACACAGAAGTTCAAATTACTCAAGGTAAACTCGAAGGATTTCTGGTAAAGGGCCTTATATATATATACACACACACATATATATATAAAACAACCTTTTGTGCTAATGTAAGTTTATGGCCAGATTTAAGGTTTAAAAAAATACTGTGCTAAATTGAGACTGTTGACAGTATTTGCCTGTTTGTCTGTGGACACTTTGTAAACACTGTAATATTTTTACCACTGAACTTACCATATTTGTGGAGAACTTTTTAAAAAAGCTTTATAGTTGCCGTGTTGTCGACTGCTGTTTATGTATTTGGGAAGCTTAAATTCAAGTTAATTTGTGTGCAAGGTAGAATTTGCTGTTGTCTGCTGTAGTGAATTATCTTCTGTTTCCTTAAAGGAAACCAAAACTGGGCAGAGGAGGGAGGTTCTGTGAAGATGCTCTTGCTTCGGGATTGTTGTAGTTATTGTCATGGCACTAGACAATTAGGACTGTGTCAGATAAGGTAGTTCCCAAAAGGAATAGTCTTTAGATAAAAAGGGCAAGAGTTAATTATACAAGCCAAAGTGTAGAATACAATACTGTGTCATCCCAAAAAGGATTCTTTTGCAGCTAAATATAACTTACTTGGTGCACAAATACACATGATGTGAAGGTTGTACACGTTGACTGATTTCTAGTTTTGGAGCTTCCTTTTTATCTTCTTTTTTTTTTTTTAATATATGTTTTGGTGTTTAATTTCCAGCTGCATGTGAAATGAGCTGTAAAAATATTTCTGTCATTTTGCTAGTGCTTTTGGTTGCTTTTCCTGCTGCAATTTTAGTTGGGGAAATAACATCTGATGGGCAAAAACAAGTTAAGTGCTTTGAAATTTCAAAATGAACAGGAATTATTTTAAAGCACTTGGTGACTTTTTGCTGAGCCAACATCAGTCTCCATGGAGACAAGCAGGAGCTGCACACTTGATCACAGTTGTAAGAAATGCCAGAGATT